GGACACACAAGTAGACTTCAATGTGATACATAATTAAGTGCATCGTTTTTGATTTCGATGAACGGTGTTGTCATGATTACAAAAAATAGAAATTTATGTGAAATTCCTTTAAAACGCTACTCCTTCTACAGTTTTGGTCTGATGGCAATGGCTAGTTTTCTCTTCCTTTGTTATAAGTACAAACAAGTAGAGCTATAGTCTCGACATTGTGTTGACCCGAATGAATCATTTTGCCTCGATTATAGTCAGAAAAAAAACTCATGGCTGAACATATCCAGTCATTTGGACGAGTCAAGATAAGTGACAGTGAAACTGTAAATTCGCTACCATTTTTCTACTAGTGAAACATTGCTGATATAATGCAGGGTGGGACGTGACCTTGACTCGAGTTCAAAGTCCCCAAGGATAAGATGTTTTTGGTTGGATGCATGGACAGAAAGAATATCTAAATAAAATGTTTGAAATTTTCCAGACGGTAACACATGGATAATATTTTTTATAACGAGAGCTAGTCATTGCTTAGATCAAGGCCATTTGGAGAGTTCAAGGTCACTTGGAAAGTTCAAGGTCACACATATTCCTTTACAGTCTTTTTCCTAGCTAAACATTGCAAGTTGCTTCTCTTAAAAGGTTTAAATTTTCATTTGTAGAACTTTAGAATGTGGCTTTTGACCTAGACTCAAGGTTACGACTTCTTGTCCGTAGCTCCAACGGAAGACCTATTCGTTGCTTTGCAACGAGCTCGGCTCTAGTTTTTTTTCTTATTTGTTCTCCGGTACTTTTTTGTCCGCGAGTGTTCTCAGAAACTGTTCACCCAACTGAGCTAAAACCTTTTTAGGGTTAATAGGTGTGTAGTGTAGGTGTGCGGAACGAAGGTCATTTTGCGCGCATACGCCTGCACGTGCGTGCGCGTGATATGAGTGAATTGACTGATGTAATTAATATAGCTATAACTTTTACATTTTTTGATGAAATGCTTTGAAACTCAGTACATAAGGATATATTAATAGTGTTAATAATATGACACTGTCAAATTAGCACGAACTCACGCGCATGCACGTGCGCCTTGCTCTGATTGGCTGAAACAAAAATCTCAATATCTCTTTTGTTTTCCGACGAAATGCTTTGAAATTTTTAACATTATCATGAATTAGGATATCCTACAATATAATATGGAAAACAATTCATGAAATCACGCGCATGCACGTGCGCTGCAATCTGATTGGCTGAAACTTTAAATGGCTATATCTCCTTTGTTCTTTGACAAAATGCTTTGAAATTTAAAACACAGTCATGCAATCGGATATCCTGTAATATGATATATAAAAAATTTCAAGAAATCACGCGCATGCACGTGTGCTGCAATCTGATTGGCTGAAACTTGAAATGGCAATATCTCCTTTGAATTGTGACGAAATGCTTTGAAATTTAAAACATAGTCATGCATTAGGATATTCTACAATATGATTTAAAAAAATATTCTTGAAATCACGTGGATGCACGCGTGCTGCAATCTGATTGGCTGAAACTTGAAATGGCTATAATTCCCTTGGTTTTCAACCAAACAGGATGGGATTTAGAACATAGATAGATATAAGGGCCTCCTACAAGAAGGTATGGTCATCATGCACGTGCATGCTCGTGCGTGCATTTGGAATGAGTGAAATTAAAAATACACTTGAATGAGTGATTTCTAATACTTTTGGACTAATTGCTTTAATATAAAGTATATTTAAATATGTAGAAAGTGTAGACAAGATTATATGATCATTATGCACGTGCATTCACTTGGGCACGCGTGCAATGTTAAGATTTGAATATAATTGGTATCCTTTTGGGAAAACGTTGTTAAGTCAAAAATGCACAGATGTTGTCTTATTTAATAAGGCTTACAGGGAATATGGCACCAAAAGGGAGTTGGGGAGTGTTTGGGGAACATCTGTAACGGTTCCCGTTACAATTAGCACTAGTTTTTTTTTTCATTAATTTTAGTTGCCTGCATGAAATGTCATTTGATTAGAATATTTATTAATTATAGTTTAAATTATATAACGTTACCTTTGTTAGATAGCTACAGAACTATTATAATAGCTTTATGGTTTAATATATATTATTCCTTGACCATAATGCTACTGATCCCATAATGCAAACAATGAGCAATTTACGGTGCAAGGTTTTCTGCACACTAATGGGGAAAATTTCACCACTTTCTAGCATTGGTCAGTCAACTACCTTTCGCTCCCTAATTCTGAACAAATTCTTTAATCAATTTATATATTTTATCCACTTATCAAGCCTTCATAGTCATGTCTACAAACTGATAAAATCACTTGTTTTCATTTTTTGTAGGATGGCAAAAATTCAAATAAGTGAGTTTGACACGTCTATAAACATGATAAATAGAGGATATCTATATTGTGTGATTTGATATTGGCTTTATCCAACGAGTTGAAATGGTGTATATATCCGTGAGGCTTGCTGAGTGAATATACACCATTTCAACGAGCTGGATAAAGCCAATATCAAATCACACAATTATAGATGTTCTATTTATCTCATACGACTTTCATTTAAACAAAACTTTGAAACTTCCCCTGTGAAACTACATGAATGATTTCTAATTCAAATTGATGACGTATAACTTGATGATGTAGCACTGTTGATGCTGACATGCCTCAAAAGAAAGTAGAGAGTATTCAACATTTAAAAATTTTGCTATCTGCGTCTTTGAAAACATTATGTGACAATTGCTGGAGCTTTATATCAAACCAACATCTGACTGAAAGTTGTAAGGACCATGGGATTGTGAAAATGAACTCTTTGAACGATGGCAGTACAAAACATGTTAGGCAAGGCTAGGGGCCTACTCGTAGATTCATTCTTGATCCATGGTAAGTTACACCTACATTACTAGGTAGGCATACGTAGTATAATATAAGAAAGCATTATTGAAGATGTAAAAGGAATCCTATAACAACAACTTTACTCTTCTAGGCTTTACTTACTCCGAAAACGAATTAAGGGGGGGGGGGGGGGTAACATCTGTCTTCAAGTAGCCAATACAGGTTCCTTGATAAAATAAGACACTTTTTTGACATATACGAGTCTTTTCCTTGCTTTTAACGATATTATCGCTCTTTATCATTCATTAAATTTATTCATTCATGTTATTATACATGTTATAGGGCAATCCAAATAAAAATTTTCAATAAAATAAAATCTTGAAGCGAGGGATCGTGTCAAAACCGGAAGTGCTATTGATGAAGCATCTACCCATGGATAAAGCATAAGTTTATCTCAATACGTATGATAAAGTGTTATATGTATACAGTGGCGGATTTAAGGGGGGGGCGCACCCGGCGCGCGCCCCCCCTAAAATTGTCAGAGTTAGCGTAAATCAAATATGTCTACTTGGTAGACCTCATTTTCACCCTTCAAAATCTCTAGAATCCAGGAGCTTCCGGGGGCTTCGCCCCCTGGGCCCCCACCAGGGCTTTGGTAGACCTCATTTTAACCCTTCAAAATCTCTAGAATCCAGGAGCTTCCGGGGGCTTCGCCCCCTGGGCCCCCACCAGGGCTTTGCCCTGGACCCACTGGGGGCCTCAAGGCGGCCCCCAGACCCCTTGCCTAATTTTGGCGCCCCCCTAACTCCAAATCCTGGATCCGCGCCTGGTATGAGGTTGATAAAATACACAGATTGATTAAAAATGTGTTTAAAAAAATGCGCTTCGCGCATTGATAATGTTTTTCTTCGAAACTTCCTTCTTTGATACGTCGGTCATCATGGTCAAAGGAAAAATATCACATTTTCATTTCTTAATCTGTTAATAATTGTGCAAGTCAGATAATCACATTCTTACCAGCTTCATGAATAAATCGGATGACTCGAAAATGAACCTTGGCCTCTGTGTCAGTCATTCTCTTTTTTAAACGTTGTGAAAAGTCTTTTTTGTAGTGCTACATGTTAATTTCTCTAAAATCAATAAGGAAACAGTGGACTCGTTTGTAATATTAGAACCCAACATGTATAAGATGGCAAAATCCGGATTTTTTTTTTTTTTTTTTGACGGACCACAACAAAAAATAAATGAATAATGATTTTAATAGATCTATCAATATTTTTGTGCTTATAAAATAAAGAGTGATGGGGCCATAAGCAATTATGGTAAAAAAAAATCATTGCAATTCATTTCTTGGATAAAGTTTTACAGACAGATCGAGAGAATTAATGTATGATGTTACCACCATGACCATGCAAGTTTGGTCAACATAGGGCTTATACATGTAGTTACTTGGAAATGAACTTCATTGAGGCAAGCTAAAAATTATGCATTAAACTGAATGTTCTCAGTATTTCATATAGTTGACATTTTGGCCATACTGTTCTTCATCAGCAGTTTTTTTAAGATGTATTGAGAATTCAATTAACCCTACCCAAACAGAGATGCTCAGATATCTGAGGATGCTTTGATCCATACATACATGTATATGACTAATCAAGACTTTGCTGCTCTGAAGAAGACTTTAAAAGATTTTTCCTTTGTATAATTCCAATGATAAAATGTTTCATTCCTTGGCCCCACCCTACCCCAGGGTAAGGAGGGTTGGGTATGCGGGGCAGGGGGATATGAATCTACACCCTTGGGGATGCTGCCTGCATCTAAATATGACATATGACCTTGTTGTTCTGGAGATGAAGAATTTTAAAGAATTTTGCTGTGTACATTTATTCCTTTTTAAAACTTTGATCTCCTTTAGACATCATCACCCATCAAGCTGTTATCACGTCATATGGATCGACACAGTTTAACTCAAGGTAATGCTGTAATGTACAGGTTCCATTGATACTTTTTCTCATCCTATTAACATAGTGTCTGACAAACATGCTTTGAACCATTCTTTTCTTAAAGATGTAGTCTCATAACTGCACAGTGTGCGCACAAAAATTGAATAAGTGTGAAAATTTTACAAGAATTACAAATAATTTTTTTTATTTCACAGCATATTTATTCATGCATGTATATATATAAATGTACTCACAAACATAATTTCTAAATGCGTATTCAAATACAGTAGCTTACAGGCGATTATATTTTATAAGCTTTCAAGAAAATAAAAATGACAAAAAAAGTATATTCTTGAACAGAATCAACAGAGTCATGTCAGTGACAGTCAGTGTGAGGTTCAGAATTTCATATTCCTAGTGACACACTACATGAAAATCTGAAATTGGATTCATCCTCATTCTGTATCACATCTTCCCTAGTATTAAATGGAAAATAAAAAATAATGACACCTCCCAACTCAGCACTGTCCAAATTTAAAATAATGACACCTCCCTATCTCACCGCTGTCATGAAGATGGCCCTGCTTCAGCTTGAGCTTTTAGACCATACTGCAAATAATTAAAGTTTAAAAATCAATCATAATAAATGTATCTAAACTAAATTAATTTCCAGTCCATAAACAGTTATAAGGCGAGAATGGCACTCACCTTTTCTCGAAATTCTGAGAGATTCCTCCTCATTGCGTAAGCGTCTTCCCCATCTGCATAATACTTTGGTTCTATTTCACTTACTCTGAAACATTATGATAAAATATGTGCACAACTTCATACTTTTGACTTCAAGAGAAGAAGGCAACAATTAAAAAAAGAATTGGGTCTTTGAATCTGTCTATTTTTTAAAAAAATGTTTTATGCAAGTTTTCATTCAGTTTAAGGTATGGGTCTTTGTTATCATATCTATTACATGTATTAAAACAATGAAATACAGATATCTTACTAAACAATGCAAACCCACTTAAGATGTGGTATGAAACATACATGTATATACACAGGAATTATAACCATATTAAGAAAAATGAATTTAACAAGAGGCCCATGGGTCACATCGCTCACCTGAGAAGCTTTGACCATTCTGTTCTTTACCAGATTTCCCCCTTGTAATACATTATGTATCCCCACCCTACCCCACTGATCATAATTAAGACACTTTGAAATCAACTACCCCAGGATCCTTCCATGTGCAAATAAGTTTCAGCTTTTCTGGCCCAGTGGTTCTTGAGAAGATTTTCAAAGATTTTTCCTATATATTTTTATGTAAAACTTTGATCCCCCCATTGTGGCTCCACCCTTCCCCTGGGGGTCATGATTTGAACAATTTAAAATCTACATTACCCAAGAATGCTTCCACATAAGTTTCAACTTTTCTGGCCCAATGGTTCTTGAGAAGAAGATTTTCAAAAATTTTTCCTATATATTTTTATGTAAAACTTTGATTACCAATTGTGGCCCCGCCCTTCCCCCGGGGGTCATGATTTCATTTACAATCTACACTATACCAGGATGCTTCCACCTAAGTTTCAGCTTTTCTGGCCCAGTGGTTCTTGAGAAGAAGATTTTCAAAGATTTTTCCTATATATTTCTATGTAAAACTTTGATTCCCCATTGTGGCCTCGCTCTTTCCCCGGGGGTCATGATTTGAACAATTAAGAATCTACACGACCCAAGAATGCTTCCACATAAGTTTCAACTTTTCTGGCCCAGTGGTTCTTGAGAAGAAGATTTTCAAAGATTTTTCCTATATATTTCTATGTAAAACTTTGATTCCCCATTGTGGCCCCACCCTTCCCCCAGGGGTCATGATTTTTACAATTTAGAATCTACACTATCCCAGGATGCTTCCACATAAGTTTCAGCTTTTCTGGCCCAGTAGTTCTTGAGAAGAAGATTTTCAAAGATTTTTCCTATATATTTCTATGTAAAACTTTGATTCCCCATTGTGGCCCCACCCTTCCCCCGGGGGTCATGATTTGAACAATTTAATATATACACTACCCTAGGATGCTTCCATATAAGTTTCAGTTTTCCTGGCCCAGTAGTTCTTGAGAAGAAGATTTTCAAAGATTTTTCCTATATATTTCTATGTAAAACTTTGATTCCCCATTGTGGCCCCGCCCTTCCCCCGGGGGTCATGATTTGAACAATTTAATATCTACACTACCCTAGGATGCTTTCACATAAGTTTCAGCGTTTCTGGCCCAGTAGTTCTTGAGAAGAAGATTTTAAAAGATTTTTTTCTCTATGTTTCTATGCAAAACTTTGATTTCCCATTGTGGCCCCGCCCTACCACCCGGGGTCATGATTTGAAGAATTTAAAATCTACACTACCCTAGGATGCTTTCACATAAGTTTCAGCTTTACTGGCCCAGTGGTTCTTGAGAAGAAGATTTTTTAATGACCCCACCCTATTTTTGTCTTTTCTTGATTATCTCCCCTTGCGAGGGGATATGTCCCTTCATTTTAACAATTTCAATTCCCCTTCACCCAAGGATGCTTTGTACCAAGTTTGGTCAAAATTGGCCCAGTGGTTCTTGAGAAGAAGTCGAAAATGTGAAAAGTTTACAGACGGACAGACGGACAGACGGACAGACGGACAGACAGACAGACGGACGACGGACAAAATGTGATCAGAAAAGCTCACTTGAGCCTTCGGCTCAGGTGAGCTAATAAAACTACATGTGCATTTCATTGGTTCATCTTGGAGACCTTTTTCTAGATATCTGGACATATGATATTAAAGATACAAAACTGGCATAATTAATTAATGTGTACTTTGACTGAGACTTACGAGAACTTGAGTGTGTTTTTGTAGAGGTGTAGAGCTGCACGATTACTTTTCCTGACATGAAGTGACACATACTGAGCATCAAAGCACTCAATCATCCCACGAGACGCCTGGTCCATCAACTTCTGGGCTAGACCAAGTCGCCGATGTGACCGCTTCACTGCCTGGATAAAATAATTAAAAGAAACTTTATTATTCTTTTTCTTATCTTTTTAGTGTATCTTTATATATTATCTTAATTAGTTTGTGCAGAATGAGCTGTTAACATAGATCTTACAAAATTTGGATTTTCTGTGGTGTATGTATTTTGAAACTTTTTTTCAATATCAGAACACAATAAATTAGTGAACATAATATGCAATCAACAAAACGTTCACAGACCACAAGGCTGACCTGATGATCTTGCTGTTTTTTGAGAAGATTTTAAAGACTGTCTCATTTTCATGATATTCGTATGATTTTTCAATTGATAATACATATTGTGTTCATACCCTACCATCTGGGACCATGATCTAAATACAACTGTATCTGCATTTCTAACGAGGCTTGCTTTTTTAAATTGAAAAATCATGATGGTAATTTTTAGAAATTTTTAAAGAAAAATTCTTTTTGCATTTTTTTCCTATATGAAATTTTCACAATCTGCTTTTTGGAAACTTGATTCAAATATAGTTTTTGTCCTGTTCATCTGTCTGTCTAGCACCATTTGTCTGCAAAAAATTTAACACTTTCCATAACTTTTAAGTGGGCGGGGTTATGGGTTTAATACATGTATTTCACAGGTGTATTCCTTGTGACAAGACCTTTCTTTGGGAATCAACAAATTTTATCTCTTGACCTTGACCTTAAAGTTTGACTTACTTTTATAAAATAAAAACAACACTTTAACTTTGGTCATAAATTTTGAACAGTTGGAGCTAGGGCTTTCATACTTCACACAATCATGTATTCATTGTGACAAGACCTTCCTTTGAGTACCAACATGTTTGACCTTGACATTTGGAGTTTGACATGCATTTGACATGATTCAATCCTCGGCATAAGCTGTAATACGGGGACATCAGTGTTTCACAAACACATCTTCTTTTTCATTTGTTTTGTATTGTAAAATTTTGGATCCCCTTTTGTTGTCAAAAAATGGAAATCTTTCCCTATGGGGCTATGCTTATACAAATTTGAATCTACATATTACACTTGTCAAGTTTCATATTTTCTGTCCCAGTAGTCTTGAGAGTAAAACCTGTAACTGATCCCATCAATTTTCACTTTTTTATTGTGACAAAGGGGGTGTTCCTTCATTTGTACAAACTTGATTCAACCAAGATCGCTTTTTGGCAAGTTTGAATATGAACCAGTAGTTCTAAGGAAGTCAAAAACGTGAAAATTATTCAGACAACTTAAAACAAAAATTGACAGACAGATTCTGGTCACTCCTTAGTCAGTAAAGCTCACATGAGCCTTTAGTTCAGGTGAGCTAAAATTTAGTATTCTCTTCCTACAAGTATTTGATGAATATACAATTAACAAGATCCTAACCAATGATGTGATGTGACCATGTGGAACAGAATCTTCTGGATCTTCCTCCCTACAACAACAAAATAACAGTAAAAATACAAAAATAACAGTTACACATCAAAATAACAATCAAAATACCAATAGCAGCAACAATATTTCCATGATGCCATAAATTTTTTGTTAATTCGTAATTATCTCCGCTTAGAGGAGGGTGTGGCCCCTCTTTTGAACAAACTTGAATCCTCTACTCGCTGCAAAGTTTAATTGAAATTGGCCCAGTGGCACGGGGGAAAAACAACAAAAATAACAGCAAAAATACTAGGAAAACAACAAAAATACAATTTACGCAATCAAATGACATTAAAACAGGCCAGGACACAAACATAAGTAACAGCGTAAGAATAAAATTTACACTCTACAAAAATTGTTATTATTAAAAGCATAATAATCAGATAATAGCAAACAAAGTAGCATTTAACAATAACACCTATCCACAATTATAGTAACAAACTCAGTAACAATATCACTAGAGTAACAGCAAAAAACAAGAGGCCCCTTGGTTACAATGCTCACTTACATTTTAGCTAAAACATATCCTACTATTTTCCCATCTTCGTCCTCTGCAACATAAGACAGCTGAAATCAGAGACAAAACAAAATTGTTTTACGTAATGTTATAAATCCTTTTGTCAATGAATAATTTTTTTTCTCTCATTCAAGACCTGAATTTCATTTTTGAAAACTTAAAAGGTCATGAACTACAATGCTTAACCCCAACATATGTCTGATTGTCATGCTCAAGCTTGGTACACAATAAATCTAAAAAAAGTCAACACACTTTGATAGAGCACTAACACGCTTTTAATCAATGAGTTGACGCTTTCAGCAAAGAGATTATTTCTAAAATATTTAGACAAAGTTAACTGTTGTAACACTTTAAGTTTATAATGAAGGAAAGTTGTTTTTTTCTTTATAAGCATGTTTTGCTGTAAACTGAAAATGTTACAGTATTCAATCAAAATATATGCAGTAACAAATACTTAAATGTAAACTGTACCTGAGGCCATGATAGACCATGGTAAAAGTAGTACTTCATTTGGTAGTTTTCAGGCAGACATAAAAGATTACAATGCTGCATATTCATCAAGTCTTCCGGCTAAAAAACACAAACATAAACAGAAATAAAAATCAATCTTCATCACTAGGCTCTCGAGCTCAGGCCACAATGCTCAGGTGAGTAGCTTTAGCCATGCAGTATTCAATAGATTTTTATATTTCCTTGAAAAAATTTGACCCCATGTAATGACCCTGCCATACTTTTAAGGCGTCTCTGAATCCACCCACTAAGGAATATGCCTCAGTGTCAGTAATAAATTCATTTCCTTGTATAAATGCATTATGTAAAATATGATCCAACGTTTAGGTGGATAGAACAATCTATCGTCAAAATGATTTTGTCCTATGGACTTGGCTTAAGGATAGAATTCCTTCCATGTATCAAAACAAAGACAGGTGATAATTAGGGAATAACTATCTTCTAATTTGGTATTTGTAACCGTTAATGCTGATTTAACAGTCGCAAACTGAGTTTTATCGTTGACGCATAAGATTACTTTTTAAAACTGCTAGTACTACATGAAATGAAATGTATTTTATTTAATTATGGCGAGGGCTTAATAAGTAAATTTATTGTCCTTGAGTCACATTTAGATTGTGGAGGTCACCGGGTTTGATCGCCGGAGGTCAGATAGCTCAGTTGGTAGAGCACCTGACTGGAGCTTCAGTGGGCCAGGGTTTGAATCCCAGTCTGGTCTGCAGCATTTTCTCCTTTCCAGTTACAGATGATTCTAACTATAGTGATAGATCTAGCAGTGAGAAACCTGGGTCGATGTCCTTGGGTATGAAGTCCTACAAATTGGAATGTGGCACTAGGTCTCGGCACTAGGCTCAGTGGCCATATATTGTAGTTGGTAGCCACTGATTTTTTTTTTTTAATTTCTCCTTTACTATTAAACAACTAAATTCAATGAGACCAGAAAACAAGTTTTTCATAAAATGAATTCCTACCTTTGCGCATCTGATATTCATTCTGAATATTTTTTGTTGTCTTTTAACATGCAATTAATTTGTTTTTCTGGTCGCTCAGCTCGTGTTCCTTAAACTCCTTTTACACCGGAAACGAGATCCATATATGGCAGATTAATGTCGTAAATATGGTAAAGGCGTCGGAATTAGATAAAATGCATGCTAAGTGAAAGCACATTCAGAGGCCTATATTAAGCTTTAAATCTATAACTGTAACTATTTTTATTTAATTATTGTGGTCTTTTACTATGTCGCAAATTTTCTAGTTTCGATTTCAATTTTTTGTGTCCTCCGATATGAAGATGTTGATACAGCAGGGGAACAGTACTGTGGGGGAGTTAACATAATTTGCAATAGTGACAAAAGTAAGTATTTTATGGATATGACAAATCTGAGTTTTCTCAACTTGTTTTCATATTATCAAATTGGCCATAGATCTAAACATGTCTCTGATCTAAAGCAGAGGCCCTGAGAGGGACCATGCACCATGCAAAGTGCATTACTGCATATCAGCCTATGGGACCATCAGTCTTAGATAAAGGTTAGACGAGCTCACTTTCGATCTAACTCTCACTTTCCCAATATATATACTGGTGTCTCATTATATCGCGGTACTTAATTCATTCTTTTGCATAAAAAGTGTAATTTCTTAATTTTACTTCAATTTATTTCAAATGGTACTTATAATTCTAACTTTGGCCTCACTTTTTAGTGTTAAATTATTTTCCAAGCTTGCATCGTTTAATTTGTGGTCTATTTTTAAAACAGGAAGTCTTATTTACCTCCTAATTAGGAGAGTCTCATTGTATCGCGGTATGGGAATTAAAACATGGAAACTTGTAAGTGGCATGGACCTCAATTTTTATTTGTTGAATTTACGGTGTAATTTTACATGAAAAAATAAACAATTGTACAAACAAAAGACTTTTAAAAGGTGAACTTTATTATAATTTTACTAGGTTATACATGCATTTAATGGTCTAAATTTAATAAAAACGGGACTGGAAATCTTCAAAATTACGTTTTATTTGAATATTTTTTTTTCATACGGATGTTCCATACTTCTTAATCAGCAAAAAAAGTAAACATTCACACAACATAAAGATTGTCCATGAATAAAAAAAAATATAGGCCAGGTAACCATATTTTTGCGATATACCGCGATACAATGAAACCCGCGGTATAATGAGAATCGAGTACATTAGTATTCCTTTAGTAAAGTCGAGACTGAGATCGTGAGCTCACTTAAGTTTCATCGCCCTGGAGACAGTTTTAAAATTTCACGAAATCAAGATTTTACTCTTTGATTAATTAGGCCTAGGCTGCCTTGGGCGGCGGCCTTGGGCAACATTTTCACATTCGGATCCAACAAATCATATTCCTTCATACCCATGCAGTCAATAACTGGATATTATGAATGGATGAATGTATTTTCCTCCAAATGGTAGGCACAGATTATCTAGCCTAGCTGCATAATTTATTCAGAAATCATATATGTCATACTAGGGATGTGCGATTTTATCGGTATACCGGTATATCGCTATTTTTTATTGTGTGATACGTATCGTGATACGGAGACCTAAATTACAGGTATTTTAGCCAAAGGTAACATATTATAAAGTCCAGAAATTATTCATATACTGTAGACGTACTTTTTTCCACGGGGTCATAATTCCGCGGAATCTCAATTTCTGTTTAATCCGCGGGTAGAAAATTACGCGGATTTTCAAAATTGTCACTATATGTCTTATTTTTAGATTAACTACGCTTGGACAAATTTCCACGGAGAATTTGTGACCGCGTACATAGCGTAAATTAATACCACGCGGAAAAAAGTACTTCTACAGTATTTGTTCAATCTTTCAACTTACAATTACAGAAAATCTAAAAATGTTGTGGAAGGTGAAAAAATGGCATCTTAGCATCCAAACATGATTAATTTTATGTACATAAAATTTTTTTAAAAGTGAAATTTTCTTTTTCTAGCATATTTTTAAGAAAAATAATGACATAACCGGTATTCATTTAAAATCATTGTAAAATTTGCTTGTAAAATATCATGGTATTACAGTGAAACCTGTCTAATCCGACATGCACTGGGAGACAAATTTTGTGTCGTAATAGACAGGGTGTCGGATTGCACAGTGTTAAAATCAAGGAAAATACTAAAATGGGAAAGAAATTTAACGTCGGAATTCACAGTGTGTCGGATCACTCAGGTGTCGGATTAGACAGTTTTCACTGTATCATCATATTTTGAGGAAAAATCGAGTATATCGTGATACGAAATTTTTTGGCAATACCCATCCCTATGTACATGATGTAATACACTGCAGTCATCAAAAAATTGAAAATTTTCATTGCTGCTAATAATTTACTGCATTTTCTGAAAATGAACTCAAGTGTAAATTGTTGATAGTGGCAGGTCAGATTGTTGACATTGGACATCCCCCCTCCCTAGGGTGGCAGTCCATTTGTATGCCGATTCCCCTAGACTACGAGCTCAACAACTTCCTACAAAAACTGGCAGATGAAGTCACAGAGGAGGATCTCCGCAAGCTTAAAGCTCTACTTCATGGTTTGTCTTAAGATCTTTGATAAGAATGCCCACTTAGTTGTCAATATGAATACAAGAGCAGGTGATTAAAGAAAGCAACTTGTGATACCATATGCATTTTTTTAAGTTAATGATAGTGAACTGAAATTCTGAAATGTTCTTGATCTTGCTTTTATTTATGCAAAGTGCCATATGGACAAATTTAGTTTGATATCTAGTTCTAGCTGCAAATGTTTGAATATTTCACTAGGATTTGATACACTGAACATGTTGAAACACTTTTCTGACTGTGTTATCACCCCTCTCATTGCAGCCACAACTGTACACTTATTTAGTAAATGTTGATTTCTTTGTCGATTCTCTTGAACAATCTGTCTGTAGGTGATGGGGGACTACACAGGCGGACCTCGGCCAGCATTGAATCCGCTGTGGATTACTTTACAGTATTAAAGGAGAGACTGTATCTAAACAGGGAGAACTTAATCTTCTTACAAGCTTGTCTGTGGAATATAGGTCGCCGTGACCTACATCGGAAATGTGTGGAATTTGCCAAGTCTTCAGAAAAAATTCTTCATTTCTACTGTCCAAAGGAAACACCAGGTCAGTTTTTGAAATTACTCAATGGAAGGAGTATTTACTGGAGATATTATTAGGATACTGAAGATGTATGTTTTTTTTTTTTTCAATATCATCTTTGATTGTATTTTTCCCCTTTATTTGCATGTCTTAAGCTCACCTGAGGAGAAGCAGAAGGGATGTGGGTTGTTTGTTCTTTTTAAATACCAGGAATAATATAAAAAATCCAAGAAAATACTGAGTACCTGGTACATAATATTTAAAGTGGTTAACTTGGGTATTTTCAGTTAATTAAGGCAAATTTTAAGGTACCAATAAAATGGACTAATTATTTCCAGATACAACTTACCAAAGATACATTTTTCTTCCAAAACATACAAAGACTGTAAAAGAAAATTTTGCAGTACTAATTATCAATCCTTCTATAGATTTATAGATGTAGCACTAGTTAAGCTTGATAGGATCATCTATGTACTGAGAGTAAGTGTACTTGTTATAAATTCTGACAGAGAATGGATATCAGTTCATCAAGTTCCATGTGGCTGGGGGTCTGGACACGTTTCAGCGACCACAGCTGGAGCATGTTCGTCGGACCGTGGCACAGTTGATTGGGTGTTTAGCGGAGCATGTATTTGTGGCGGGGATCGAACCCTCTAACAGCTTGGTGGTGACCCTTATGGTGCCGAATTCCTATGTCGATCTGCTGCCCTGCGCTGATAAACACGAGCTGGTCTTACTAAGAGCTGTAGACGTGGACAAAATCATCATCAAAGACACCGTGGAGATTGAGATCCCTTGCTATGGTACTGTAGATTCCTTATTTTTTGTGAGTACTTAAATGTACATGTATAATCGCGAATGGACTCTTCAACGTCAAATAACGAGAATAATAATTCACGACTGGATGTTTTTCAAGAGATTTTACAAAAGATTTCAGCACCATAAAAATAAAGGCGAGTGATTTTATTACGCGATAATTAATTCCACAGGTATATTTAGGAATCTACAGTAATTTATCTACATTGTTGTCTGAATGTTTCTCTCTCTCTCTCTCTCTCTCTCTCTCTCTCTCTCTCTCTCTCTCTCTCTCTCTCTCTCTCTCTCTCACTTTCTCTCTCATTGTAAATATTACCCTTTATAGTGGAAAAATGTAGATTTCATATTTTACTGAGATTTGATGCCATTTTTATGATCCTACAGGAGGTTACCATGCAAGTGAAATTCGTAACATACTCAGGAGAATGAAAGACTTGGAGAGACAGCTGGATATATCAAATCAGAAATTACTGGAGGCTGAGAAAGGTAAGCTTACATAGAGTCATTACTGGAGGCAGAGAGAGGTAAGCTTACATGAAAATACTTTTATTTTACTTGTACTTTAATTCAAAATTTTCCCCTTCTGTTGATTTAATGACAGATTAAGTATGTCTACCTTTTAAAATACTGTTACAACATATATGATATATTGTAGGTGCAAATATTGAATAATATTTTGAAAGGTTAAATTTAAAGAATATATATATTTCTGGCAGAGAAAAGAAAGCTAATCCAAAGTTCCTTGACAAGGATACCTCCAAACTCTCCCACGGTTCCAGGAACACAAGATTTGTCTTTGCTCTCTTCTACTCCAATGAAGAGTCCAGGATCCCAGATGGTGCAGGTAGAGGTTATTTTTTGTGCTTAACTGTACATGTATATTATGCAGTCATTTTTTTCTTGCTTAACTTAAAATCTCAATGAAAAGATTGACTCCATGTTTTTCTTTTTTGTAGGCGGCATTTGATTTAGGATCTGACACAGAAGAGCCAATTAAAGAGGAGACAACTGCATTGTATCATTCTCAAATGAGCATTGAGAGAGGAAGTGATATGGGTGAGCCATCTTATTTGTGATCAGTGAAAACTGTGTAATCTAGCTGACAACTGTGCAGGCTTGTTTCACAGTGTATTCCAACTCTTATTTTGAATCCCATGTTACTGTTTTCTATGTTCTTTATCTGGACAGTCTGACACCCTGATTATTTTAAATTTGTCTCCAGAGTGAATGTCAGATTAGGTAGGTTCCAATGTAGTTTAAAAGTTGAAAATGTGAAACTCTTTAGAAAATATAGACAAACTTCAATACATCAAATTCCATGTGACAGAGAAAAAACTCTGTGATATCTGGGAATTTCATATCAAGGGTAACTATTGAAGGACTACAGTATATGTGCTGGTGACTTACAAATCACTGAAATATCAATGGCATGTGAGATGTAGTTTGAGATACTGAAGTTAAACTGTTAATCATCAGAGACATGACATATCAGAAAGAACCACTGACCAGAGATGAAGAGACTAAGCATAGTTTCATCATTTTTCATTGAATACCAATGTTCACTGTAGTTGTAGTTGAGTAACAGCACAAAAAATTCAGTGGTAAATGTGGACTCAAAAAGAAATGTTATTTATGGTAATAGAATACTGTAGACGAACCTTTTTCCGCGGGGTCATAATTCCGCGGAATCACAATTTCTGTTTAATCCGCGGGTAGAAGATTACGCGGATTTCTTAAACTGGCACTATATGCCTTAAATTAATATTAAGTACGCTTGGACAAATTTCCGCGGTAAATTTGTGACCGTGTACATAGCGTAAAATAATACCACGCAGAAAAAAGTACTTCTACAGTAGGACAAGGTACCTGTCCACAAATCTACATAATATAAACTTGTGAATTTACTTCACTATGTCCATAAATTCACTGTATCCATGTTTATTCTAAACCAAGTTTTAATATTTGTGCAGAATTCCTACCTTTAAGTTACTGGATCTCTGTAAAATTCTGTTCAATGAAGTCTTGTTTCTCCTTTAGAACCAGAGGGCTACACGCGCTCAATAAAGGTGAGCAATCTGCCCCTCGACACAGTGGACGCAGAACTGAGGGAATACTTTGAGAGGAGGAGGGAACATGGAGGGGGACCAGTAAAGGACGTGACCTTGACCAGCCAGTCAGGGGAGGCAATCGTCAGCTTCCAGGACCCGGGAAGTAAGTTAACATACAGAGGATAATAGACAGCATGTTCAACATAAAGTTAGTTTCTGTAATGCAATAAAATACAAAGTAATACTCTTACCCTTTAAATCAGGTCAGTCTCCTTAAAAGTTGATTATTTTGTCTTTGTTGTCAGGATATACTTATTGCAAAACTTAAGCATCATGAAACCATGTTGGGGTCTTCAAATAACCTCTTCATGAAACAATTGTAAACGAATGCCATAAAGTTGTACTGTCACTTTTCTGCTTACTTTCAGCCGTAACAAGACTATTGCAAAGTGAACCACTGCTTTTCAAAACAAACTACATCAAAGTAGAGCCCTATGTCCCAATGGATGACAGCAGACTTAGTCTGAGTGGACTCGCTGATCCTGAACTGACCAGTGAAGCGGAACAGAACCTAACAGTGACCCTAGAGGTCAGTGGGTTCAAACCAGAAACAAGGGAGGAAACTCTGGAGGATTACTTTGTGAATGAGAAGAGTGGTGGGAGTTCCGATTGTGTCAGTCTGCCTGTCAGTATGGCGGCGGACAGAAGTGTGGCATATGTCAAGTTAAAAGACAGGAATGGTCAGTTAAACATTAGGATTTTATTTATGAGTCTTGTTTTGTTGAAAGCACTGATGCTTAATTGTTGATATGCATTTCATTGCAGAAGTGCAAATGAGCAAAATATAAAAGAGTAACTTTTAATGAAATGGTGAGAATAAAAAGCTCAGCTAGTACTAGAACAACCCTAGATTAATGTGGTTCTGCTATTTTCACAGTGGCCAAGAATATTCTGAAGAAGAGGGACCACGTTTTGGATGGGGTCAAGTTGGAGGTCAAGCAGTTTGACCAGAAGAATGTAGAACCCAAATTTTACAAAAATAAAGTCTTTGTTACAGGTCTGAATTTTTTTTTATGATATATGTTTGTATGAAAATTTAAAAAAATTTAATCAACCCTTCAATTAAAAAATTAATGTAGTAGTGTACTTAAATCCAAGTAAAAGGCAAGTTACTGTTATATATATTAACTTTTAAAATTATATCAGATCTGCAAATGTAAGAATTTTTTTGTGCACAATTCTTTCTTCCTTTAGCTATTCTAAAAAAAATTGAATAAAAAAACTTTCATTTTGCAAATTTACTCAGACACTGTTGTAAATTAAATTTTTCTGTAAATATTGTTTGTGAGATTTTAAAAATGGTGACTTACTGTAGAAGTCCTTTTTTCCGCGTGGTATTAATTTACGCTATGTACACTGTCACAAATTTTCTGCGAAAATTTGTCCAAGCATACTTAATATAAACGCAAGGCATATAGTGACAGTCTGAGAAATTCGTGTAAATTTCAACCCGCGGATTAAATGGAAATTGAGATTCTGCGGAATTATGACCCCGTGGAAAAATGTATGTCTACAGTATTTGTATAATTATTTACATATTTAATCTTAGGAATTGATCCCAAGACAACACAAGATGGTCTGGAGAACTACCTGTCTAACCGTGCCAGTACCAAAGTGGGTGATATTGTGAGGGGGGAAGATGACTCCAGGGCTGTAGTTACATTCACTTCAGATATAGGTGTGTATACTAAAGAGCTCTGCTGTGCTATAAATAAATTGAATTGGTTATTTATGTATCAAAGAGGTACTCTGTTTAAAATTTAATTGAATGTTAAAACACTTTTCATTTAAAATTTACCTTTACTTGAAAAACCAACTAAAGTTGAGGATTTTTCTCTTTGTAAAGTGTCTATTTCTGGCTGTCAAGTCCAAAATATATACTTTGACAGTCAAGTACAGAAGTGCAAAACCCTTGCTTTATTAGGTCACCTGAGTAACTCAGGTGACCTATTGCTATCCGTTTTCGTCCATCGTTATGCGTCGTGTGTCGTGTGTTAACATTTGAACATTTTCAGCTTCTTCTCTGAAACCACTGAACCAATTTCAACCAAATTTGGTATACAGCATCTATGGGTGAAGGGGAACAAAAATTGTGAATTTCATGGTCCCCGCCCCCCTGGGGCCTGAGGGGTGGGGCCAAAACCACTAAAATTATTGCAATCTTTAAAAATCTTCTTCTTTACTCCTGGACATCAAGCAGGCAAACTGTTAGCATGAATGTAATAAGCATTGAGTCCTCTACCAAAACTGTGAAATTCATGGCCCCAGGGTCGGGGTTCTAGTGCTAGGGCGGGGCTATATAGATTATATAGTGAAAATGCATTATTTCTTTGAAAATCTTCTTCTCTGCTCCTGGGTATTAAATAAACTAACTAAGTACATAGTTATGATGAGCAAGAGTGCCTCTACCAGATTTGTGAATTTTATGGCCCCAGGGTCAGGGGTTCTGGTGTTAGGGCGGGGCTCTATAGATTATATAGTGAAAATGCATTTATTCTTTGAAAATCTTCTTCTCTGCTTCTGGGTATTAAATAAACTAACTAAGTACATAGTTATGATGAGCAAGAGTGCCTCTTCCAGATTTGTGAATTTTATGGCCCCAGGGTCAGGGGTTCTGGTGTTAGGGCGGGGCTCTATAGATTATATAGTGAAAATGCATTTATTCTTTGAAAATCTTCTTCTCTGCTTCTGGGTATTAAATAAACTAACTAAGTACATAGTTATAATGAGCAAGAGTGCCTCTTCCAGATTTGTGAATTTTATGGCCCCAGGGTCAGGGGTTCTGGTGTTAGGGCGGGGCTCTATAGATTATATAGTAAAAATGCATTAATTCTTTGAATATCTTCTTCTCTGCTTCTGAGTATTAAATAAACTAACTAAGCATATAGTTATGAAAAGCAAGAGTGCCTTTTCCATAATTGTGAATTTTATGCCAATGATCCAAGTATATATATTTATGATGAAGAAAGGTGCATCTAGCAAAATGGGTTTTTTTATGCCCCGAGGGGGGGGGGGAGGGGGTACATAATCTGAAAATAAATTAATGCTTTGAAACCTGCTCTTTGGTATT